GCCTGCTGTGTTCATCCAGCCCTGCACCTTGTTGTCTCGGATTCTCCAGCATCTGCAGTTCCTACTATCTCTGACCATATTTATGGGACTTTTTTAAAAAAAAAAGTTTATGAAATGTCAGTGTTGAGAAATCTACATAATTCTCAATAATTCCCATCTCAACAGAAGACCAGACACAAAGTTAATCCCTTTCTACTGTCTGAAAAGAATATTTTAAACAAAACATTTACAGGCATACCCAAACTTTGCACCAGTGTCAAATCTTCCAATACCCAAGAGCCATATCACAAACCAGACTGTCAAGTAGGTCCATCCCATTATAAATGGCACTGACACTGCTGTAAACTTCCTTAGTCAATACTGTGAACAACACTGGAACATTTTTTTTAGCCTGACAAATCAGATTTTAATCCAGAGCTACGTTCAATGCTACTGCCTTATTTTGTTCAAAACATTCCACCAGTACATCAGCAATGATCCTACAATTGAGGAAAGGTCATTGATGAAACAGCTTAAGGTGGTTGAGGCCCGGACTATTCTGAGGAGCTCTTGCAGAAAGGTTCAGGAGCCAAGCTCACTGGTTGTCAACAAACAAACATCCTCCTTTGGTATGACTAACTAACAGAGATTTACCCCCAACTCCCAATGACTTCAGCTTGCTAGGGTTCTTAATGCCACACTTAGTCAATGTAGTCTTTACTCTCACCTCAGCTCTGGAATTCACCTTGATCATCCATATCTGTGCCAAGACTGTAATGAGGTCAGGAGCTGAGTAGCTGAACATTGGTGAGCAGGCTACTGTCAAGCAAGTGCTGCTAGACAGCACAGTTGATGATCCATTCCATCACCTTGATGATTGAGAGGATAAGGATCGGTGGTATTCTTAGGTGGCAATTGCTTTTTGTGTCTTGAATATTCCTGGGTAATTTTCCACTGCAACTGCTTGACTAGAGGTGCAGCAAGTTCTGGAGTAATATTGTTGGAAACATTGTCAAAGCCAATGGCTTTTGTGCAGTGCTCTCTTGATATCGCATGGTGTGAATCAAATTGGCTGAAGACTGGTATCTGTGATGCTAGGAACCTCTGGAAAGTTCCGAGATGGATCACCTACTTTACACTTCTGGCTGCAGATTGTTACAAACGCTTCAGCCCTGTCTTTTAAACTGATGTGCCTGTACACCCAACCCCCACCCCACACGACCTCACCCACTACTGGTGTGGATGGGGATTAATCATGGAGCTGGCTCCTCCTCCAGCAAGTTGTTTTAATTGTTTACCAGCATTCATGAGTTTGTGGCCAGGACAGTGGTGCTCAGTTCTGATCAGTTGGTGTGGAATTGTTTATACGTACTTGTGTAAAGTTTGATTAATATATATTTTAGTATTATTTATTTTTAAGTTTCCATGTTTGAATTAGTGACATATGGCTTTTTTCTATGGAACTGGAGGGTTTAATGACGAATTTAAGTATTTCTGAAGCCACAGTGATTACTTTTAAAAAGGTAAAGATAGTTTATGTACATTGGAAGAGTTTACAAAGTAGTAAGGCAAACAATTGGTCAGACCACATCTGGTGTATTATGTTAGGTTCTGGGCACCTTATTTAAGGAAGGACGTTAAATCTCTCCCTCTCTTGAGCGAGAGAGAGAGAAGATTCCAGAAGGGTACCAGGACGAGGGATTTTAGATATAAGGAAAGATGAAAGAAATAGGGTTTATTCTCCTTCAAGCAGAAAAGATTAAAAGAGGCAATCAAAATCATGAATAATTTTGACAGGGTGAAGAAGGACGTACTGTTTCCACGAGTTGGAATGTCAATAATTAAATGTCACAACTTCAAGACTGTCAGTGAGAGTGCAAAGAGTGAGATGAGGAGAAACTTCTCTAATCAGGAGAGTTAGGAATTGGAATGCGCTGATTTGGACAGTGGAGGAGGTAGATTCCAAAAGGAGGTTTCAAAAGAGTGGGATTACACATATATGTATAAAGGGATGCATTTAGACAGCTGCAGACTAGCTGTGTGGCTCTTTCGGCAGCCAGTATAGACACGATGGGTCGATGTCCTCCTTCTGTACTGTAAAACTGTATGTTTCTATAATTGTGCATCAGGATTTCAGTTGGAAATCTACATTGAAGGACTTCTTCTCAAATCCGCACAAACGGAAACTAGTTTTTAAGTTTCAGTTTGTAGGGAGTTGAGAAGTCGTCCTTGGATGAAGCTGGACATATAAAGCAGATTATCAGGTAGGAATGAGAATACATTAATACTAACCTTTGGAAAACACTGGGGTCTGGCCAGTGAGTTGCTCCAACACTTTAGCAGCTCTGGTGAGTCTGTCACCACTTTCACCCACGCAGATATTCAAACACAGCTTCCTAATGCGGAGCTCACGCATAGGATTTTCCTTCTTTTCACCCTGAAAGAAATTAATAGAAAAATCACATGAGCAAAACATGACAGAAGTCTGTTACATCAAGAGCAAACCTGGAGGCTATCGCTATCAATGCAAGAGAGTCAACAAGAAATTGGACAAGGAATCCATGAGAAAATTCTGGACTCAGAATGTGACAAGAACATGGGACTTGCTATTACAGGGAAAAAGGTGAAGCAAAAACTATGGACGAATTTAAGATGAAGCTAGATAAGCATATTAGGGAGAAGACAACAGCGTGTATAATGTAATAAGAAGGATTAGAAGATCTCAAATGCAGCATAAGTGCCTGCATCGACAGAATGGACCAAGAACCTGATTCTGTACTGTATGTTGCAGGCAAAACTAACACAAAAAAGGGAGAAAAACAGTTAAAGCCAAATTTAATTTGTTTGAAATACCAGCCTGTAAAGGAGCAGAAATATAAATTTATAATAAAGTAAATAGTTGCACGTGAGTTCTGTTTGCCAAATGTTTAGAAGTTTGCTGCATCATTGCCTGTTTTACAGATAAATTAAGTGTCAGCTTTTCTCTATATTTTTGCCTTGATTTGTTTAGCTAGGCTGATCAGAACAATCAAATAACTTGGCATTTATCTTACTTAATGAAATTGCCTGTTTTACAAACAGGAACAAAAAAAGTAATGTTTGCTATGGGACTGAAGAGGACATGAACAATTTATAAATACAAAATTCAGCTCCACACAACTCTGGAATGCAGATTCTGCTAGTGTCAAGGCTTCAGCCGACTTCCAGATTTCCATAACAAATACAACCATCATGTTTTTGGAGAGAGGGACTAAGCTTATTTCCATAATTTGCAAGTTAAGACAAAGTATTTGATATTTACATGGTTCTTTCCATCTTTCTCTGCTGATATCATAAAAGATGAAGGAAAACTGTCAGAATGAATGACACGATCTTAAAGGAATCTGCTAATTTAAACAAACCAGATACTTGAAATTTGACTAACTGGAGATTCAATAACATGCTCCTACAATCCTGGTTGACTCTTATTCCCTGGAACATTTATAAGCTGATTTAAAACTAGTTTCCAGCTTGTAGTTAGATTTAGCAGCAAGTGAGGTAATTTGACAGAAGGCTCAATTTCCTACAAGAGGAAGACTCTACCGGAGACTGCAGGGAATGACCTGGAGCATCAGGAATGTGACTGGGGAGGAGTTGCTTATAAATACAGAAGACAGAAATTGGAATAGGTGGCCATGGCACTGCGCAGATCAATCCTGGCCCAACCTAATGGGGGTGCAGGCAATTGAAGGAGGCAAAAGAGGATCACAGCAAGATGCTTCTCTTTGTTCACAAGATGACCTCAGAACATTAAAAAACTGGTTTCTGGCTACAATGAAGCCTTCTGACAGGATTATGAGAAGGACATATTTCTCAACAGGATCCGTGGTAGTCGCCAAAAGGTGAAATAGGATGGATGGGAATGGAACGTTCTCAGACGGTGACAGTGTGGTGTCACTTTTAACTTCCAAAAGCACAGTTATTATAGCATTGTACAGTACAGAAGAGTTCCTTTGACCACTGAGTCCATACCACCAGAAATACACCACTGTTGACACCAGACCAATTTTCCTGCATTAGAAGCCTTGAACGTTAAGACATTTCACAGGTTTTAATGGAGGAGAGGTTTTCTGCCTCAATTACACTCTCAGACAGTGCATTCCAGATCCCGGCCACCCTCTGGGTGAAAACATTTTTCCCCAAAATCTCCTGTCTTTCACTTTCAAAGTATGCCCCCTTGCTGTTGACTCTTTGATTAAGGACTAAGCTGCTTTCTGTCCACTATGTCCATGCCTCTCATAATATTACAGATCTCTATCAGGGTCCCCCTCAACATTCACTGCTCCAAAAGAGAACAAGTCGAACATAACCAGCCTCTCTTCAAACTTGAAATGCTCTATCCCAGGCCACATCCTGGTGAATCTTCTTTATACCCCCTGAAGTGCAATCGCATCCTTCCTGTACTGCAGAGTCCAGAACTGCACATAATACTCCAGCAATGGCCTAATCAAAGTTCAGTACAGCTCAAACATAACCTCCCTGCTCCTTTAATCTATGCCACAACTAATAATGGCATGCGTCCTGTATGCCTGAACTATCCTAGTAACTTGTCCTGTCACCTTCAGGGATCTGTGGACAAGCACCTCAAGATCCCTGGGCTTCTTAGTGTCTTTCTGTTCACTGATTACTCCATTGTCTTGTTTTTTCTTCTAAAATGCATCACCTCATATTTATCAGGGTTAAATTCCATTTGCCATTAATCTGTCCATTTGACCAATCCACCTTTTCCTCCTGTAACTTACACCTTCCTCCTCACTGTCAATTACCCAGCCAATCTTTGTCTCATCTGCAAATTTAGTTATCACCCTCCCTCCTCCCCCGTTCCACATGGACACATTCTCATCTATGTCATTTATGAATATTACAAACAATAATGGAGCAATCACTGATCACGGCGGTATGCTAT